AAAATGTTTTAATTTTTTTATTACTATTCTTAATATTTTAATTATTCCTCACACTTGTATAGGGGACTTGCAGGGTATTGCGGAGCTTAAAAGTAAAAGACAGCCACAGACAATAGCGACAGTTTGAACTTTTAAGTAATTAACCGCTCTCAAGAGGGCATTTCATTACTCAAATACTATTTCACAATCCAAACAGCAATTTGCAGAACGCCATTTTCAAAAACTGAACCATCTTCTTCTTCCTCCTTCCTCCGTCTTTCTCCTTCACTGCATCCCCCCAAATCCATACATACATACACCTATACACTTGCACCACCCTCACACCCATATATCACTTTTGTTTCTTCTTTACATCGTCTTCCTTTTTTTTTTCTTTTTTTTTTTTTTTGAGAATCTTGTGTACTGTAAGCAAAGATAAAGAGGAGGGGAAGGAAGAGGGACGGGATCGCGATGGATTCGCCGTCTTCGATTGGAGAATCATCGACGGCGCGTATAATCACGCGCTCTTCCATGATAGACTCGATAAAGGGTTGCGCTCTGTCGGGGCTGGTGGGGATCAGGGTGGACAAGGAGGAGCTCAGGCGGAGGCTCATCATGCCGGACTACTTGCGGCTTGCTATGGTGGATGCTATCAAGAGCAAGGATGTTGATGCGGGGGAGCAGCATTTTAAACTCCGGGGTCCCGGGGAGATCCTTCCTCCGGAGGCTCCCATGGTCGTGTTTATCAATCCGCGTAGCGGCGGCCGCAATGGTCAAGTCCTTAAGGAGCGCCTCCAGGAGTTGATGAGCGAAGAACAGGTTCCCTTTCTTCTGCTTACTCTAGTTTTGTATGTGGGGAATTTGTATGATTGGGCATAACGGGCGTAGGTAGGCACAGCCATACAAGTTGTGCCGAATAATGTAGGTACTTACTACTTAGAGGATCTATTGTTGATAAAATTCATTCAACTGGGTGTCAGTTAGGAGAGCTAGGATCAAGGTAACTGAAAACTGGTGGATGCCATCTTTGGTTGAGGGTGGAAGATGAAGCTTAGTTGTGCTCCTGCTGATCGATCATGTGTTGCTTTTGCTTATAGGCAAGCTGGGATCATGTTAATGCAGGTTATGGTTAGCTTGGGTTTGTGGTATATGAGTGTAGGTGGGAAAAATTGTGGTTAGGTTTCAAAGTTGTTGGTTTCAAAGTTCTCTACAGAAAGTTTCTTGTTTCATTGTTGTTTAAAAAAATTTGCAATTTGCAATGCAGGTGTTTGATTTATCCCAAGTGAAGCCTAATGAATTTGTCCTCTATGGATTGGGTTGTCTTGAAAAGTTGGCTACTAGTGGAGACCACTGTGCCAAAGAGACGCGTGAAAAGATTAGAGTTGTGGTATGTTTATTTGGGCATGCAGACTTTTCAAATAAACTTGCAAATTATGTTTCCTCTTCTTTTCAGAAATTGGTCCATTAGTGGGGAGTTTATTCCTCATGGTCAGACTCTTTGTATATTTTTGATTGATACAGACATTCAAGGGTGATATTTATGCCTTCTGCTATCAATATTGGGCAGGTTGCTGGAGGTGATGGTACAGTTGGTTGGGTACTTGGATGTCTTGGAGAACTTAATAGAATGGGTAGGGAGCCAGTTCCTCCAGTAGCAATTGTTCCACTAGGTACAGGCAATGATCTATCTAGGAGTTTTGGTTGGGTAAGAATTTCTTTTGATTTAAATTTGATGTTGCTGGCTGTTGTCTTATCTGGCTTTCTTGAGCTCTGGTTTGTGCATTGGCTTCAGGGTGGTTCGTTTCCTTTTGTTTGGAAATCTGCTATTAAAAGAACTCTGCTCAGGGCAAGTGTTGGTCCAGTTTGCCGCCTAGACAGGTGATTGGTTTATCATTACATAACACTTGGTTGTTGCATTTTGCTTGTAAGGGCTTGCTGCTGGTCCATAGTCAGATGTGATTGATTGTTAGAACTTTGAAGGTCAACTATTTGTTCCATCATATTTTTCTTTTAAGTAATTGACTAACTTTTATATTTCAGAGTAATGTTTTATTATTTGTAAGTAGTCTCTGTATTTCTTAACTCTCTTACTATTTTGCACATCTATGCGTAAGATCTTATTTCATTTTGTGGCTCTTACCATAATATAATTGAGGCTTCTTAAACAGTTTTCTCAGTAAATCCTTCTTTGATGTTGATGCAGCTGGCATCTTACTGTGCAAATGCCTTCTGGAGAACTTGTTGATCCTCCCCATTCCCTGAAGCGTACAGGAGAGTTCTCTCTTGATCAGGTTGTGAATCATCTTACTTTGGATCCTGCTGTTTCTTTTAATCACATTCTCCTTCATACAAACATTTAGAGATTAATGCTATTTTTTTGGTGTAAATTTCATTAAGGCTGGCACCTGATGAATATTGTAATATTGTAGCTCTAAACTTTGTTTCTGAAGGTGGCATGTCAGAAGCCCCAAAAAACAGGTTTTCACATCCAAAGTGGGTATGGTGCACAGGTAGTTTGTAGAAACCATGAAAGAAAAAGAATTTTAAGAGGTAGTTTGCAGAAACCATGGGTGAAAAAGAATTTTAAGGATAGAACAGTCATTAGATGTTATTCATCATTTTCTCTTCATTAATTGTGATATTCTTCATTAAAGGTGTGCATGTCCAAAGAGGTTATTGTACCATGGTGTATACTTGAAGAGACTTTGTAGAAACCATAGATGAAAAAGAATTTTAGGGATAGAACATAGGTTAGATGTTATGCATCATTTTCTCTACTATAAATGTCATTTTCTTAGGATTACCATGGTGATCTTAAAGAACAAAATTTTGTATATAGATGGTAACAACTTGTGTATGATTGCAGGGATTAGAAATTGCTGGGGAGTTGGCTGATAAGGGGAGTTGCTATGAAGGAGTGTTCTATAATTACTTTAGTGTAGGTATGGCATTTTAACTTCTATATCTGGGTTATTTGGGCTTCACACAGAAGGGATTAGACTTGGTGGGAACTGTACTGTGATAGGAAGAACTTATTGCTTATTTCTGCATCCTATCTGGGCATAAAGCTGAATTCTAAAGTGGAGATGCTATTAATTGCTACGATGAATTAAAAAGTTTGTTGCTTTCCAAATAAATCCCTGAGTTCACGAAAGTCCAACCTCATCTAAGATTCCTCTACACTAAATGCTCAACGACAATTTGTATCATTTGGTGCCTGAACTTGTCACACTAATGTGAACTAAAATTCTCTTAAAACCAATGAAAATTTTGTAAGAGACAGCAGATCATAAATTGGTAGCTGAATAAGGTTGGAAAGAATGTTTCAAAATTGTGATGATTGATGACAATCTATGTTCTTGCTTATTGTTGGCCTTTAGTTTTTCTTCCTCTTAAGAAGCTTATGTTTTATTATAATTATTTTTTCACATAGGAATGGACGCTCAAGTTGCGTATGGATTCCATCACTTGCGTAATGAAAAACCTCATCTTGCACAAGGTCCTGTTACAAATAAGGTCTGATTAGATCTCTCTCTACTCTCTAGATTTTGACTTCGTTTATGCCCTTTGTTATTGCTTTGCTTGGTAGAAAATATAAAATGTTGATACTTATATGTTAGTTATTATTGTTACTATTTTATTTTAGTTGGTTCAACCTTGTGTTGCTAAGCATATGGGAAGTGCTTATAAGTATCTTTAGAATAGGTTTTTAGAAAATGTGTAGTCAAAGAGAAGGGATGGGAGGTTACTGAAAGTTTATGTTAACTGAATTTCTTTGATTCCCTCTATCTCAGGTTCTCTGATTTGACCGTATTGTGTGTATTCCATTCCTAAGATTTATATTTTAAAAGTTTACTACTTTATAAGTACTTTGACATGGAACAAATATGGATGCATCATGCATGAAGAGAAAATGAATCTAAAACAAGGAATTTGCATAAAGTCTTGTGATTTTTTCTATATGTGATTGCTCCATGTTGTCTAGTGCTTATAGGTTCTTCTCCTTGTATTGTTAGTCATGAATTAGTGACTACACATACATGGTTGATTTATTGGTCTGGAGTGTATAACTGAATTTTAAAGTTTCCAACTTCTCTTAGTTCTCTAGGGTAATACAAATGCCTTAGCTTTCTTCCATTGTCTCCATTAGGTTTTACATGAAATATAACTGTTATGCAGCAACTGACTAAAGTCATACCGCTGTGTACTGCTTTAGATTGCATCTAAAATCTCTACTCTTCCAATCAAGGATTTGATTGAATTGGCAGCTACTAATGCTAGCTTCTAAATATTCTGTGTCTTCTGGCAGATTATCTACTCTGGTTATAGTTGCACTCAGGGTTGGTTCTTTACACCTTGTATAAGTGATCCAAGTTTAAGGTTAGCTATTGTGTTTTTGTGTAGCTTGATGGTATTCTAACCAAAACAGAAACTGTTCATTCCTTTTTTTTTTTTTTCCCAAATAACGGAGATTAAATTGGGATATTTTCTTTATAGTTAACTCTTTTTATTATGGTATTTAAAAAGTCACCCAAGGCAGGAATGTCTTAAAATGAAAGACCACTGCAATTGAATTTCTAATTATTCTATTTTTTACTGGCATTGCTTGAATTTGGTGTCCTACCATCAATTGAGTGATCCACTGCTAATTGGAAGGCTAATCAGAAAAGTTGATGTCTTAAAAAAATTGTAATTTTGAAGGATTGAATTATCTTTTGATGATGTTAGCATATTGACTGATCGAATACTCAATTTTTCTCTTTCATGGTTTGGCTAGAATTGTAATTGACCATTTCAGCAATAAGGAAATGCTCCTATGCTTTTGTCTATTGTGTAATAATTTTACTTTTCTCTATGCTCATGGCTTTTTTGTAATTCTTTTTTAGATTGTTTGAGAACCATGTGCTATTTCATGTTTGTTTTTCTTCCTCAGTGTTTTGCAGTAATCTTCCTTTTGAAATGCTGATATGTTTCAAAAATATTCCGAATGCAGGGGGCTCAATAACATCCTAAGGATGTATATTAAAAGGGTCCATTGCTCAGAATGGGAGAAGATTCCGGTACCAACAAGGTAGAGTTCAAATAAGTTAATTTCTTGAGATATTATTCCCACAAGAGGTTATTTTTTTTAGTATATTTACTCATAAGTCGGCATTAATAACTGTTTACCTTTCTAATATACCTGAGAGCCTATCAAACGCATAACTGTTTATCATATTAGATTTTTGAACCTTGATTGATAAAGTAGCTTGAATCTTGATTCTTGAGGCTATATATGATATATTTTTGTGTTACAGTGTGAGGTCAATAGTTGCTCTGAATCTTCATAATTATGGAAGTGGACGTAACCCATGGGGTAATTTAAAGCCAGAGTATTTGGAAAAGGTAAGGTACATTTCATAAGGTTGCTTATTCTTGTTACGCTAGGAGCTTTTCACCAGCCCACCTGCTTTACAACGTTCTAGTTTTCTTTTCATCTTTTATTTTGATTTGGCATATTTTATTTTGCTTGTTTTGTGTACTTGAGTTCTCCCTGACTGTATTAATATTTCTAGAAAGTTATTAATAAAGCAAAGAAGAAAAAAAAAAAAATTAAGAGAAAGGTTATGACAATAGGAGATAAAGTGGAAGGAGTTATCAAGAGAATGAATTTTCTAATTAGTTAATTACTTATTACATACAAATTTGCATTATGAAAGAATCTTTTTTAAGAACTGAATTTTTCTGCTCCAAACATATTTGTGCAAGTTGTTTGAGAAAATAAATAGTCTAAAACTTCTATATGTGTTTAATCAATAATTGATATAAATCTGTACTTTGCTGTTTGTATTTTACTTAATTTAAATTTGTCCTCCTGTGTTCTTCACCACAATAACAACTTCTCACCACGTCATTCGAAATTATTCTAGCTCTGGAGTCTTGGAGCAAACACATGGATGCCATTTCATTTTGAGCAAACCATTTGCATAATTTCCACATAGTTGCAGTCTGTTGAGATTGCATAATTTCCACACGTTGTGCTTGTATGGAGACTCAGATGATTTCAAGACCAGGGATAATCTCCTTAAATTTAATTATTTATTTTCCAGAAAGGCTTTGTGGAGGCCCATGCAGATGATGGTCTTTTAGAAATTTTTGGCTTAAAGCATGGATGGCATGCTTCTTTTGTTATGGTTGAACTCATCACTGCCAAACATATTGCCCAGGTATTACTGTTGTTTTCCTAATTTTTCATCATAATAAGTGGCTAAACTGAACAATAATTTTTCATAATTCTTTTTTTATGTAATGAGTTTTCTGGATGTCCTTTAGGCTGCAGCCATTCGATTTGAAATTAGAGGCGGGGAATGGAAGGATGTATACTTGCAGATGGACGGGGAGCCATGGAAACAACCAATGCGGAATGAGTACTCAACATTTGTGGAAATTAAGAGGGTGCCTTTCCAATCATTAATGGTCAAAGGAGAGTGACCTGGCAGGCATTTCCTCCAGACCAACAGCAATGTAAAGCAATGTAAAGCATCATTGTTACCCAGGTCCTTGTTAAACCATATTTATTTTTCCAAGTGAAGAGGAATTGGGAAACTTAAGACTCAACAAATGCAAGAAAATGGACAGGAAGATATAGCCTAGGTATCACAGAGACAATTGGACCCCATTGTACCAAGTTCATCAGTTGTTAATTCCTTGTCTATGTTGTTGACCTGAGTTGGGAATGGGGTATTTTTGCTGGATTTTTCCTGTATGTCATTCAATAACAATATTCACTGTTATTGTATTCTTGCTTTACACTGGAAGTTGTCATTATTAGTAGGTAATGTTATTGTCACACTTTTAATTACTAATGTTATATATTTTTTTATTTTAATTAATTATTATATCTTTTAATATTTATTAAGAAACAAAAAAATGTAGACTTTAAAAAAATGTGATGTAAAGATACAATAAGTAATTACATTAAAAGATGTGACATTAACCAGTTAGGATATAATAATAACTTAACCCAACTTTGTTAAATACAGTGTTATCAACATCATATACAGAAGCTGATATACATCTTAATGCTACTTCGATGAAATTGTATGCCTCTAATATGTTTATTTTGATAGGAGTATGCCTCTAATATGTTGGATGCCTTAATCTTGCTCTAATTCAGTAAAAATAACCTGTATCAACTCATGACAATATCAAAAATAAACTCCAATTAATGTACCAGATTATAACAAAACATTTTCCAATAAATTATGAAAAATTAATGATTGTTCAAACTGTAAATATAAATACATTATATTTATTTAATGTCTCATTATATTTATTAACTTATAATCTTGTAGAGTTTTATAATTATAATATTGTTCTTTACCTTAGACCCTTTTTACAAATTAAAAATATTTTTTAATAAAAAAAAAAACTCAGCCATGTGGTCCCCCCAATGGTATTCCCCTCCTCCCTTCATTAGTCAACAAGTTGGAATCCTCTATTCAAAAAGAAAAAAAGAAAAAAAAGAAAAAAAAAAAAAAGGGGAGTCCTTCTCCGCATGGGAAAAGAGTAGTTTTGCTCACAAGTCCAATAATATTCGAAAAAGAAAAACACTACGCTTGCAGGCCCTTTAAATTAACCCTTCTTCGTTACATCGCCCTATCGCAATCATCACCAGCTACCCAACGTGAGGTAAAACTTAATTCGATCAATTGGTATATCCTTATTTTTGTCAAAGAACCGTTTTGTATAACATCAATAGTTTTCTTTACAGGGATTGTTTTCATAATTAATAAGATTAGATGTGAATATTGGACTTATTTGTAGATTTTCTCTTCTCTCTTCGTTTCTTTCGTCATGTTCTCTCTTGGTTTCCTTGAATGGAATGAAGTAGAATGCACTGAGTCACATAATTTCCTTCAATGCACCACACACAAACGTGAAGTGTGTATTAAAAATTTTACTTTCTTTAAAATTGCTTGAAAAAAATTAATTTCAAGAGGTTATTGTTGTACAAACTATTAATTACTTTAGAGACATGTCAACATTAAGGAAAAATAAAAATGTCGATTAATTATTATTTTTTTTGAATTCATGATATACTTGGATGTGTTTTGCCATGCTCTTTAGTAGGATTATTATTAATTAATTAATTTGATTTGCATTTTGTTGTTGTGGTAATTAAGGTCTTATTGTTCAAGACTTGTTTCTCTAGTTTTCCAGTATCTGCGGAAGGCTCTACCAGTAGTGGATGAGATAAAGAAAATCAGCCTCAAAGAACTGAAGTTAGATACTTTAAGGATAGATTTAAGGTTCTTAACTTTGGACGTACTACTATAATTCCTTAATAATCGAAGTGAAGTTAAATCCAGTACTTCTTGGTTAAATGGCTGATAAATACAGTAAACATGCCCACATGCCCACACCTAATTTACATAACTTTTCGATCCCAAAATTATTGCCTGAAGGGATACGTCACACTTCGATTATCTTGTTAAGCAAGCCACATGGACACCTCACTAATGCTTATAAATAAAATACCTCTTATGGGTCACCTAAAAAAGATAATTGAAATCGACCTAAAACTCTTTTTTCATTATTCTAAAAAGGTAGATCCAATTATTGCTGACTTAAGCATCAAAGTGTCTACCCCAAGAACCCACCTCGAGGCTTTGCAGATTCATCCGGAATGAAGACGTGGACTAAATAAGGACTTTTGGTTTGGTGCAATTACATTGGCGCCGTATGTGAAAATCGAACTAAAAGCTCTTTTGTTGCTTTTTTATCAAAGTCAATACCGTACCGGCATGCGTACCAGTTTTGTTATTGGAACGGTACGTACTGGATACCG